TGAGAAAAATGAGATAGTTTACATAATTCTTGACACAATAATGTTGTCATGACATAATGTGATTATATTTTAAAGCAATGACTGACTACATAATTTATCGAGTTTCCTCAATGAAAGCCTGCATAAATTAAGTCAAGTATCCGGATTATTAGGCGCACAGGTAGCATTCCGAACTAAATTTCAATTTTCTGCCGTCAATGTCCGACAAGCAATATGTCTAATAACTCTGATCCCAAACACAATATGGGGAAAAACACAATTTGTTGGAATATATGTCACGAAATTGCAAATCTATATAATGAAATCATTCCATGTGCACAGTCAGACAGTTCAAAAAAAGTCGCAATTCATTCCTTTGATGCTCAAAATCGTATGTGATTCGTGACAAAAAATAACACATTTCGTCCCTCTGGAAAAATACCTGCAAATATACGGGCTACAAAATCATTGTATCTGCTTTAGCAACTCCATATACATGCAAAATATCACAAAGAAACAGGCACTCCGCCTTGAAGTTTTTTTTTTGCTATTGCATAAAGTGTGTACCCCCTGTAAAATAACCTGTTTCTACCGAGCATGCTGTTTAAAAGCAATATTTACAAAAAATGGTGGCCTTGATACCTATAATCAACAGCATATGAATTCTGGTCATGTTTTCGAAATTGCGAGTGATCATTCTTGATGTCACATCAGCAAGTTCCATGTTGGAAAAGCACTTTAACGAAAACCCAGCTTTTAAAAAGAAAAACTAAAGTCCTATATCCAAGATAATCCTTATAGTGATTTGCACCCCGTAAATGTGTTTGTCTTTATTTAAACAAAAAGTTATAAACAGTTCCTAGAATATCTATAGATGACAACGATTTTATTCAAACAATGCACAATTAAGTAAACCCCCCAAAAAATGCAAAAAAACTTCTTTTTCACTACGTAACTGATAATATTTTTGTAAAAAAGAGGGTTTATGCATCTGTCGTTTTATGAAATGTCGTTTTACAATGGGGTTTGAAGGGAAAAATTCTGAGGTAAATTTTATGCTAACATTTTTTACATACCCCTTTCTATCGTATTTCCCCTTTTACGTTTAAATTTAAATAGTTTAAAAAAATTTCCCTTTATTGTCCCTCATTTTGATTTTTTCTAACCAATATACTAAAAAATAATTTTAAAACACACAATTTGATAATTCAAATTAAATTGATAACAAGGCAAGGTGTTGTTTCTAGTGTTTATATTTTTAGTCGGCCATATAGATTTTATTTTTATTACTAGATGAGTAGAAAGTGTAAAACAATGGTAATTTATGAAATATAAAATGGTAACATCTGGGTATATTAGCATTTATAACTTAAGCTTAATAGTATTTACCTAGAGTGAACCAATCATACTTTACATAAATTCAATTAAATTAGATAATCAGGACCATGTCAGATTTTGGGACAACGTTCTACTTTAAACCGTTATCTTCATGCGTTATCTTCATGCAACCTGTAGTTTAATTACATACAATGACGTTTTAAATATTTTAACAGGAGGTTTGTGTTACACTAAAATATCAATAGAATATAAAAGCAAATAAACCAAAAATCCTGAATTTCAATAAAAAATACCAAAATGGTTCAAATATTGATAGATTATCATAAAATTCAAAGAACATAGATTGCAAATTTGAAATGAATGCTGAATTAGGTTCTTGGAATATAATTGATACAGTCACGCAAAGAGGTGATTATCATCTAAGCTTAACTAACATTTCAAAATGACATTATGATTTCGCATTGCATTGCAAAAGAAGAAATCACAATAAGTCTTTATTGTTACATACTTGTTTGTACATTATTCATAAAGATTTTTCATAAATGCTTTATTTACTGGCAAGTAACTGTAAGCTTTTATTTGATGGACAAAATGAAAAATGACAAAACAACCTTTCAAAAGCCAAGGAATTTTTCTTCAATATTTGTCTTGAATAGTACTTTGTGATCCTACAAAACTGTTTTTACTCTCTGCTGGTCTTTTGATTGCTTTACCTTATGAAGAAAAAGTGAAAATTTAACTAAACTTTCAAGGAAAATTAAAAATTTTGCAACGAAAATACATATATCAGTTTTGTTCTTTTACTATGACGAAACATATACTCGAAGTTTTTTTTTCTACAATAACAATACATATACATGTACGGTATTTCTTCAATGACAATACATATACCGGCACAGTATTTCTTCAATGACAATACATATATCATTACCATATTTCTACAATTGACGATACATTTATCGGAAGGGACAATGATAATACTTTCTGTGTGCCATTTTTTTGTTTGAAAAATAAAAGAAAATAAAAAATAAAACTTGTGTAAGTCAGTAATTAATTGTTTACGTGGAATTGTTATAATTGGCGCGAAATTTAAGATATAAGTTGGACACATCTTATTGCTGGTGATATAACAAAATGTTTACGTGAGACAAGCGATGTTTACCGAGGAGAACATTTCATCCTATTATCATCAGTGGATATGACATTTATTTTATTATACCAATTACAAGCTTATACAAATAAATGTTCAAGCTCGAGATATCAAACATGGCTATATTGTAAATAAATCATATGAAACATAAAGATAAGACATTTCATTTTGGTAGCAATGAAATCAATTAGGGTGAACGTTTTTTTATGATAAAACATGGTCGTTGACCTCTGAACCACTCCACCCTCACCTCTGTGGTTTCGAATCTCGTCAGGTTATTCGAATTCCTTAATATTATAAAACTATCCGGCTAGCTTACGGAACATCGGTGGTTCTACTTAGGATCCCGTTCGTGCATGAATTGATGCAGGAGGGGCACCTGAGGTCTTCCTCTGCTAGTTTTGGAAAGTCGCCTTACATGTAGATAATATTGTAAATATGTAAAATGAATATATCTATATTCTCATTCAGTTATTGAAATTTAAAATAATTTCATAGTGATCTTCTAAATAAAATACCAAGTTTGCTTTTAAGCAGCTAAAAGAGGTATTTTAATGTCGTCATTTAAAGAAATCTTACACAAATCAGACACCTATTTTAAAGTGTTATTTTTCTGCTAGAAATAACCGTATTTCATGTCATGCATGATTTATATTTTGGAAACCAGAATGAAAATGGTACTCTGTTTCACAAATGTTTTGGTTACAAATCTTGCAATTCTAGTTATATTATAGGTATAGAGCAGTGTTATACCGGTATATGATACAGTCACATATATTGATATATTAGAATGTTTTATGTCTTAAGTGCCATAAGGTGTTATATACGTGTTATTTTAAGGTGTTTAAGTTAAGGGGAGAAAGTTATAGAAACGACAGATAGTTGATATGATGGACATAATTCTTTAGATCTGAATATTTTCAGAATAAAGAATGTTGTAAATCACATAAGATATTGTGATTATATTTTAAAACAATGACCGCTAATAAAGCTTATCGAGCTTTCTCATATACATACGTTTAGTCAAATATTTCGTACAGTTAATTGAACAGTAAACGTGTTATGTACCCTTAATATTATGTACACAGTTATTGTTGTTTAACATTTACCCTATAGATGACAGCGACTTGATTTTAACGTTTGTCAAAATTATATTAAACATACTCCCAGTGAACAAGGAAGTGTAAATAAACTTCTTTTCCACGAAGTCACTCTGATAAAATATTTGCAGACGATAGAGGTCAATAAATATGTTGTTTGCTCATAATATGTCAATTGACTTGATTTTATAGGCAAATAAACCTGCAGGTAAGATTTTATGCGAACATGTATATATTTATATATCACTAGTCTATCGTGTTTCCTTAAATGATTGATCAGATAAATATTTAAACACTGTTAAAATTGGTCTTTATTGCCCATATACGTGGAGACCTCATAGTTTCTGCACGTAAAACTCACAGGCGATGGCACACTTGCCGTTGTGTGCCATCGCAATAATGGTCAAATTATCATAAAATAATATCCATTTGATCAATTAAGACTAGCACCAGTTTACTATATACATTTTGTATCACATATAATATACAAAATTGTGACCGTTACATACCTTGTATATGTCGTTATATATAGTAAACGAGTACTGGATAGTATTTTTGTCATTGATGATCAAGGGGAGAGTATCGGTATAAAAATGATAAGTTGACCATTTAGTATTGGCAAGATAAATGTGCAGAACGCATTTGGTTTAACTAAAAGTAATATGAAAGCAAATTATTGTGTTTATACTTATTCAAATAAACTTGATTGCAATATTTTTGGGTCATATAAAGATTTGATTTTTATTACTAGATGTGTAGAAAGTGTAATACAATGGTTAGGTTAATTATGAAATATAAAATGAAAAGGCAATACATGTACAGGCATCACGGGCCCATACGGCTAGCTACTTCCAAATGAAAAGTTATTATAATTTTAGCTTAATAGTATTTACCTAGAGTGATCCAAACATACTTTTATAAACTCAATGAATCGTCAGACAATCAGGACAATGTCAGATATAGAGACAATTTTTTAACTTTAAAACCAATTTCTTCATGCAACTCGTAGTGTAATTTTGTACAATGACGTTTTAAATATTTCTAACAGAAGGTTTGTGTAACACTGAAGTATCAATAATATATAAAAGGAAATAAACCAAAAAACTTGAATTTTAATAAAAAGACCATAATGGTTCAAATATGCATACATAATTTTATAATTCAAAACGTGTATTGCGAATTTGAAATTAATTATATATATTAAGCTTCTTGGAATATTAATGATACAAAGAGGTGAATGTCATCTAAGCATACAATTTCAATGTGACAGCATGATTAAGCACGATTGCATTGAGACAAAAATCAAACATTTAAATTCTCTTTCAATTTTCAGAAATAGATGATGAAACAGACAAAAAAGAAAGTAATTTGAAACAGACAAAAAAGAAAGTAATTTATCTATTATAGAAATAATGTTCAACATTAGATAAGACATGGAGGTCCCTGGTCGAACACAAAACAGTTCACCCAAAGATAGTGCAGTATTTTGTCAACCATGTAATAGTGACGGCGAAACGATGGTTGCCATTGGATACTGTCAAAATTGTAACGAGTATTTATGTGCAGTATGTCTAAAAGTCCACCGCAAGCAAGCCGTGTCAAGAAATCATATTATTCTGGATGGTGACAATATGCCTAAAGTAACACTTCCGGTTGTAACACCAAACCCTTGTTCTGATATTTGTACCAAACACGAAAATGAAATAGTTAAGTATTTCTGCATGTCTCATGATGCGGTGGGTTGTGGAGATTGTATGATCATTGATCATAAATCCTGTAATGTTGATCGTATACAAGATATATCTACAGAATATTTCAATGGCACTGAACACCAAAATATCCTAAAGAAGATAGAGCAGTTTATTAAAGATATTGATGAAATAAAAAGGAAGCTACAAGCCAGCGAAGTGAATATGAGACAAGCATACACACAAGCAATTAAAGATGTCAAAGCATTCAAGAAAGAAATCATTGATTATCTTAACAAGGCAGAAAGAGAAATGCTTGAAATGATAAGCGAAAGAAAAAAGAAAAATGAGATGCTGATACAGGAACTGCAGCAATCAGAAAGTCATATTGGAAGAAATATTAAAGAAATACAGACGAAATTACAGCTACAGGTAAACCAAGCGAATGATTTGTTTGTTGAAGCAAAACAAGTTAAGGCAAAACTTAACTCTATTGATGAAAATCTGTATAGGTTGAAAAAAGACACCAGTATTGATGTATATACGTTTCAACGTTCTTCCCACATGGAGCAAAGGGTCAAGTCTTATGTTCCGCTCGGTGCCATAGTTGATAATACAGAAGAAAAGGTCGAACACACAGCATCAAAAAAAGATTATCTTGTTTCTACCAAAGAAGTTACAGATAAAACTGGTTTGGACAGGAAGAGCATTTCTGAAATGGATGCTTATTTTGATTGTGAGATTAACATTAAAACACAAGATGATGCTTCAGATTGCTTTATTGAAAGTTGTGCATTGATTTGCCCAAGTCAGATTATAGTCACAGATAGGAATAATAAATGTGTTAAATTAGTTGATGTCAATAACAAAACAGTTTCAAAGTACAATCTTAAGTATTGTCCATATGGTGTAGCAGTAGTAAATCCCAATCTGGTTGCTGTGACATTTCCTGATGATAGGAAGATACAATTTTTCACAATAACAACAGGTAATAAAATCAATGAAAGTGACATGATCAATGTCCGTACAGGTTGTAAGAAAATTGCAATCCATGAAGATAAGATTATTGGTATAACCAGCGAGAGTGTTGAGATTATGAGCATGAGCGGACAACTGATAAAATCTCTATCTCATCCAGATATGAAAAACTTGATGGATATTGCTGTCGTACCTAATTCACAGATGTTTTATGTCGGTAATTCTTATAGGAATAATTCTGTTTTCAAGTACGATTTTGATGGCAATCTGATAGCAACATACAAGGACAAGGATCTGGTAGATGTGAGAGGATTAGAAGTAACAAGAGACGGTACAGTGCTTGTGTGTAACTGGACTGGAGATGGCAGTATTCATATGATTACTCCTGACTGTAAAAAGATCAAAGAACTCAAGGATAGTAGACATGTAAGATATCCATTGTGTGTTACGTACTGTAATAAAACAAATAAACTTTTTGTTGGAAACTATGAGAATAACCTTGACAAGAAGTTCAGAAACGTTTTGAAAGTTTTTCAATTAAGGTAGATTTTTATTCCATATGAAATCAATGGTCTGATGCAAAACAGAAATGGAAAAACAGTAATGGCTATACTTAAAATATCATTTTAAATTGATACATTAAACAATTGATACAAATGTTTTATGAATAATAAGGCACGATCATAAAATGACATTGTCTTAAGAAAGACAGAACAAAAAAAAAACAAATTTAAACAACAGAAGAAAATATATTAAAGAATTTATTATCTGTTGTAAAGTTGGATTCCAACTACAACAGGTTATATAATAATTACATAATATTGTATAATATTACTAAAGTCGCGTAGTAGCGTAGCCGGGCATACGCCAGTACGCCGTAGGCGTACTAAACGAAAATGAATTTAAAAAAAAATAAAAAGTCTTAAATGTTGAAAACAGTAGTCCAAATCAGTACCCTAACCCGTGTTAGGCACTGCCGTGAGTTTTGACGGAGAAAAAAGGATTTGCTGACAAAAAATATTTTGTTATTAAGCGATTTAAATAGTGTATCGGTATTTTTTGTTGCAAGTGTAGAACAGCTAACTAGTACCTAGGTAGATCTAGTACTATTTTAGGTAAGACAGTGTCATGCGTATTGACTTGTTTGTATCTTATCGTAGAATCCTATTATAATCCGAATGTTGTTTACATAAGAAGTTATACTAGCGGGAAAAATCAAATGGCGTCCCAACGTAAAACGTCCGAAGAACATGAGCCTCCTTATGTTGATATTTTCAACTGCACCATTTTAAACGATGAGTTGAAAGTCACTTTATTAAAGTCAGATAGGCCTGATGTCCATAAATATGCATTTAAATCGAGGTAAGTTTATGCAGATCAAGAAATTTAAAGTAGGTAAAATAATGCAATTTATCATTAAATCATATTCAAATGTATTTTTTTTCTTTTAAATTACATCAAATATTATTCTATTTTATTTTTAACTAGATCTATAATAAAACTGAAATATAAAGTCATTTTTAAACGTTGTCTAGAGCGTACGGACGAAGCTACCTTTACCAGGGAAGTGAGAAAGTTGGTTACATTGTAGACAGATGGACCGTCCACAAGCTCCTGATACACTTCTAGGAACATTGCCACTGGCTAATGAGCAGTACTATCCCAATGTCCGTCCTTGTTTGTTAGTACTGCTCACTATGCCAGTGTCTACGGCTACAGCTGAACGATCGTTCAGCACCATGAAGAGATCTACCATGACTACAGAGCGGCTGTCTGGGCTTGGCCTAATGAATATTTACAGAGACATGAAAAATTATTCTGAGTACATAGTTGACAAATTTGCTGCAAGAAAACAACACCGCCTTGAATTTGTCTTCAGAGAATAACCATATCTGCATAGATATCACATACCCGTGCCGATTTTGCGACTCCGTAAAATGGTATTGCACTGGCATAATTATATTTTGACAAGACATCATTTGCGTTACATATACATAACGCTAAGACGCGCTAAATGTTAGTGTTATACTATAGGCGCTTCAATGAAAAATGTTTCTCTATCACTTCAAACGGTCTTTGTTTTTGCTGTGTGATAAATAGAATATTAAATGCGTGTAAGTTTATTGCTTAATTTATTGAACGTGTTGAATAAAATATTATTATGCTAGCCAGAGGCTCACATAATATCATTTTATTCAACTCGTTAAATAAATTCAGTATTAAACTTACACTCTTTCAATATCCTTTATTTATTACATGTACATATTATAAGAAAGGAATTAAATATGTTGTCAAATGTCTCCAGATTGCGTTATTTTGCATCTATAAATCCAAATTTTCCCCCGAACCCCCTTCCATTTACAAAGGGGGGGGGGGGTGATACCCCCTCCCTTAACCCGCCAGAGGCTCACATAATACATGATTTTATTCAACTAATTAAATAAATTTAGTATTAAACTTACACTCTTTCAATATCCTCTATTTATTAGATAAGAAGGGAATTAAATATGTTGTCAAATGTCTCCAGATTGCGTTATTTTGCATCTATAAATTCAAATTTTCTCGGGGGAAGACCCCCGAACCCCCTACCATTTACAAAGGGTGGGGGACACCCCCTCCCTTAACCCACCACCTAGGCGTATAATTACTTTTGGCCGCGCTACGCCACTGAAATTTAAGAAGTAAATCATAAATAATCTTCATACATATTTTTCAAGAATTATTAAGGGTTTAAACTTTAACGTAGATTTAAGTTTATTTTAAAGTTTAATCATATTGAACATGCCTGCAGTATTGTTTTATAGACATTTCATTCTTATCATTCATTAGTTTAATGTTAAATAAAGTTTGTAGAACTTATTGATACACTCTTTAACAGTAACTTAGCATGGCCTAAGACTCTTTACATTCAATATATATAGAATGTTTCTACTTTCACTTATGCTGAACTTTAAACTTAGTGAGATACATATTGTTAATCTAGCATTTGCATGATTTATATATGTTTGTAAATATGTTTAGTTTGATATTAGTTTCTAGTTTTATTGTTTAAAATATTTTTGTAAAAGTTTATTACTTTATTATTTTGTAACCATGGTCAATTGATACTGTTGAAAAATTTTCCATGAATCATTATCTATTTTTAGAAAACTTAGTAGTTATGTAAAGCTCTAATGAGCTCTGATTGATCAATCAGAACAGTTCTGCATTTTACTGGTTCCACACAAAGCTCTGGTTCCCAGTAGTGTGCATAAATACAGGCACTTTACACAATTTTGTTATTCTGCTGCTAATTTTTGGAAAAGTAACATCTCTAAAAGCTCTCTAAGGTAAATTAATTAATTATTTAATTTATTAAGGCACTTTGGCATATACATGAATCTTAGACATTATCTAAATTCACTGAAACATTTTTGATAAATCTGTAAGTTATTTTAAATAGTAATTTCTTTTTATATAAGTAATTAAGATTAATTAATATCTTTTCTTTGTTTAAGTGGCAGCCATCTTGAATTATTAGATCTTTATTTTTGTTGATATATATTAAAACAGGGCTTTTTACTATTCAGATTTATTAGTTAAACAGCACAGAATCGTTAAGGTTATTTTTCATATATTTAGTAATTACAGTTTAAACAACTTTCAATTGGTTTAAATCTTTTATTCACTAGTATATTTTGATTATCATATTTTTGGTTAATTACAAACAGTTTATATTAAAGTACATATTGTCAACTTGTTTAGTTTTAAGTAACTTTTAGTTAAGTGTAAATAAAAACTTAGTTCATTAAAAATTTGGTTGATTTTTATTTATTTAACATTTGTGTTTTATTTCCCTTTGCATTCAAAGGGTGGTGTCATCCTGACGATTAGATTTATCCCATTAAAGAGTTCTCCTGGGAAAACTAAGAACATCAAAAATATTAGGTAATAAGTAACTAAATTCTATTTATAGAAAACATATGGCTTTTATTTTTCAACACTACAACAATGGTGCCAAGTGGGATAGAGGCCTGCTTCTATTTTTAGAAACACTTATTAACAATATGTTTTTCATCACAACAACATATCGTTACATACATGTATATACATTATTAATTACTTAAACAGTGCGTATCTGTATAAAATGTTGGACATGTGTTTTTTATTATTTCATTATTTATTGCATTATTTACCAGGTAAGTAATCATAACCTTTTATGTGATGGATAAGACAAAATGTGCGCTTCTCCAAGGCCATAGATCAGACATTAATTTTGACTAAGTCATGGCCCTTTTTAGCTCCACACTGTGCCACAGTAAATATCGGCAGTTACTTTTGCAGTTCATGTAAACAATGCTGGGTATTGTTAACAACGTTATTTACCTGGCGTCTCAATCGTCTGCCCTCTGCAACTTCTGAAATAATATAGCATGTACAGTTAAATTTTGATATCCTAATAAAAGAAACAATCATTGAATGTAGATAACAATGTACCGTTGTATGAGAGGTTGTTTCATTAAAATCTTAGAATTAAGGCTGTTATCTTATAACTCCCCGTGGTCGAGTGGTTTTTAAAAGCGAGAGGTCACAAGTTCAAATCACAGTTAAGGCAACTCATTTTTTTAATTTTTTTTTCAGTATTTGCTTTTGTTTTTAATTGATTAAGCCAAATACACATAGAATTGAATATCAGTGTTGCAATTAGTCTTATAGCCAATTTACTATAGTTATAAGACTGGAAACAGAATTTGGTGACACTTTACAAACAAATTGGTTTATAATCTCACAACCTTCACCTTTCTGACATTCTGAGACCCAAACAAATTCAGCGCCTTCTGTGCTTTGATTTTAAATGTTTTAAGGCAGCACACCACACTAAACTAAGCCACAGCTTCGAATGGCCAGGGAGGATTTCATGGATATAGTGACTATTGTGGATTTAAATGACTGGTTGTCTTTAAAATGCATTTTCAGCATGAAATTTGTTTTTGTGACATGTAATATGATCATTGGCAAATTCAAAAACATGGTTAGAAATCTCATGCTTTTAATTATAGATGTCAAGGCCGCCATTGTTTGTAAACACTGCTTTTGAACAGCATGCTCGGTGAAAACAAGTAATTTTACAGGGGGGTACAAACTTTCAGCAATAGCAAAAAATCTACAAGGCCAAGCACCTGTTTCTTTGTGATAGTTTGCATGTATAGGGAGTTGCTAAAGCAGTGACAGAGTTTCTGTAGCCCGTATATTTGCAGGTATTTTTTGCCGGCGGGACGAAATATGTTGTTTTGGGTCTCGGACCACTATAGATTTTAGGCTTTTACGGAATGAATTGGAATTTTTTTAACTGCCTGACTGTTGCACATGAGATGATTTCATTATAAATTTGCAATGTTATGACATATATGTTCTTAACAAAATGTGTTTTCTTTTTCCAGGTTGTGTAGTTTGGGATCAGATTTATCAGACATATTGCTTGGACACTGACGGCAGAAACTTGAAATTTAGTGTGGAGTGCTACCTAAAGTCTTCATTACCATAAAGTTCAGTAGACATTGTATACT